CACACACACACACACACACACACACACACACACACACACACACACACACACACACACAGATCTCTTGGCAGTTGCAAGCCCTTGGCAGTGCCTGTATGAGATTGTGTGTAGGTTGTTCGACTGTGATTATTTGCAGAGTTTAGTTTCATCTTTAACCAAACCAAGGWTTCGCTCCACTCTCCTGCTGCTGCTTATCACAGCATCTCACAACAAAACATCAATTAACTGTAGTTGCAATGAGCACCTTCTATCTATTCATCATGAACATTGATATCAAAATCATTTAGGAWCTTTATTTATTTGATTGAACATTTTTCCCAGATGAATTTATWAGTTTGGTTTTTTTGTTACTTTTCACTTTTCCCTGATTTTTTATTTTCCCTTGATTAGCCAAGCAAAATCCAACAATAAACTAGTCAGAAAAGAKAATTAATAAATTAATTTTGCCTTGCTAATTGTCTTTGATCAAACACAATTTCCAGCACACCCCTGTGTTCAACTGACTGCTTCCTCTGTACCTGATGTTTGCCACAATCTCTAGTCAGTTTTCTGCAAAGAAAATCTCTTTCCCAACTACCCCATCACCCTYATGATTGCACCATTGACATTCTGCCCAGAGCTCCACTCTTCCCCAGTTGTTGCTACAATTAATTTGTATTTTCTGAGATTTAAACAAACAAAAACCCTCTGCCCTTGATCCATTCAGTATTTGAAAAACTGCTAAGCTGAACCTCTGGAATGTACACTTTATATGCATTTATGATATTGTGATCAAATGGAAGATGATCTTCAAAAATCCTTAGGGCCACTGAGTATTTGGTCATGCCACTGAACTCCCTCAGTGCCTTGACATATTCCAAGCCCTAGTTAATAATGATTTTAGAGACTTTCTCAAGCTCTTCATTTTGTCTATGTCATTATGCTRATCTCTGAGAACCTACCACACAGGGCAGGTTCTTTTAACTTCTATAAAATCTGCTGCGTGTCAAGGTAGAAAAATGCAAGTTCCACATTTCCTTAATAAATTCCTGAGACAGCAAACCAGTAAAGATGAACACTAATAAAATCAAAACTGTGTCTAAATGTCCAACCCCAAATACAAAGAAACAATTCCAGCATTTCCTTGTTAATTCATAACTGCAGTCAGAACACTGCTCCATCAACCAAACCTCCATCAACCAAACCTCCATCAACCAAACCTCCATCAACCAAACCTCCATCAACCAAACCTCCATCAACCAAACATTCATCAACCAAACTTCCATCAACCAAACC